ATGGCTGCGCGCCAGGTTTATTTATTTATTTTGTTTGTTTGTTTGTTTGTTTGTTTGTTTGTTTGTTTGTTTGTTTGTTTGTTTGTTTGTTTTGGTTTTTTTTTTTTTTTTTCGGTGCACCAACCTTCCTCACACAGCGGGCAGCACTGTCCATCCCCTGCTGTGTATTCATCATCTCTGCAGGCTGAAGCCGTGAGGAGAAAAAWCACTGAAACAAACATTAAACTGAAAGTTACCAGGCCGGCCTGCACGCGGTTCTAACGCGGATGATGCGGATCTACTTCCGGTGACTCACCGAACCAAAACCCCGCGAGGACCATGGTTTTACATGTTCCCACCTGGTCCGGTGCAGCTTTAACAGGTCAGATTAGTAGATTTTTGCAGAAATAAAATCCGCAAAGCAACGAGGATCCGAGTCAGGAGGATGGGTTCAGGTTGCCAGATATTTTTAGAAATACGTTTTTTTTAATAAGCGACTCCATTAATTTGATTCAGTTTAACTTCATATCTGTGTGCTGACAGGAGAAACAGCGGAAATGTTTTCACTTCATGTTGGTGGTGCAGTGGTAGAGCAGCCGTCTTGGGAACAAAAAGTCACAGGTTCAACTCCCCACCATGTTGTGGTGTCCTTGAGCAAGACATCTAASCCAGSTGCTCCACTTGTGTTTCTCACATGTGATGGGTGAAATGCACACATCTCATCACTGTACGTGCACTGATGACATAAAGTACCTTTACTTCTACATACCTGCAGGTACGACCATCATGGTGCTTCATCAGGGTGGGGCTCAGCTTCATCTTCCTCATCTTCCTCCTCATCACTCCTCACATCACTCAGCTCCTCACATCACTCTGTCCTGATGCAGAGGAATGATGGAACAGAAGGTGAGCCTGCAGATCATCGTCCTGCTGGGTGGGCTTCCTTCATCAGTCCCACCCTGGGTCCTTCAGGTTCATCAGTTTTCTTTTCCTGATTCATGTTTCAGTTCCTCCACTCCTTCTTTTCTCCTCAGATGGTTTCTGTTCCAGCCTCGCCCTCCTCATCACATCACTCAGCTCCTCCTCATCGCTCCTCGCATCACTCAGCTCCTCCTCATCGCTCCTCACATCACTCAGCTCCTCCTCACATCACTCCTCACATCACTCAGCTCCTCCACATCACTCCTCACATCACTCAGCTCCTCCTCACATCACTCCTCACATCACTCAGCTCCT